ATTCAAATAATATTTTTTTCTAAATGGAATATTTTTATCCATAGTTTTGATTGCGAAAACTGCTTTCATTAGTTCTTTCATATTTGTATGAACGTTCACCCAACGCGGAGTAATACTCAGCCGACTTGCTAGCCCTTGGCTTGGGGCAGGGAATACCCTCTGATACCCTCTCTAGATTTCATGTATTAAAAAAGCAGATGCCCCAATCCCCCTCTGGACAAACCCCTCATCTTATTCTTATTATCATAAGTATTATAATTATCTTCAAAATATATTCATGAGCTTCATTTTAAAAAAAATAGGAGATTTGTTATTTTTAAAAGTTAATTTAGAAATTAACAATTGAACGGTTACAATGACCTTGCAAAACACTTGATTGGAAGCAGCAGCTCATAGCGGCTGAAAAATTGCAATCCCTTGAGGAGTCTGATTTTTTTTCAGTAGCAAGATCTAACACCTCTTACCAATGCTGTCTACTGCTGCCAGCCCATACCATACCCCCCACCATACCATACTGCGGCTGATTTCTGAACTGGTTAGAATGATTGTATAACAAATAATGTCTATATTTTTTTAATTTTTCTTAGAAAGGAAATTGTTTTTAAAACAATGAAATATAGTGCAGGGGTACATAGTTAGTACCAGTATCACAAACAGTAAATTTAATGAATGAGAAAGAAATTGAATTAGCAACAGGTAAAATTGAAGGGTACGTTAGTTCAAAGCAGAGTGGTGATGTCAAACTTACGTGTGGCTATAGAAAAGATACGTCAAACTATATTCATTCCTTCTACAGTGGAGTATCCTACCATACTGTTGAATGACTGGTCTCTTAAAAATCGAACTGAAAGCAGAACATATTAATAAATGATTAATTTATGAAACATTATACAGTATGTGATCCACACAACATATGTAGTACATACAAAACGTTCTTACTCGCCACAACAATTCTTATGACAGCGATGAAGGTGGCTACTAAGTGAACAGTTTTTGAAAAACACTGCACACTATACACACACATTCTTGGGATTGCAAGCAGCTTAAAAAGCTGGAAAGATTGAAACAGAGTATGGGTTGCATTCAAATATCAGGAATACTGAATAAAATTTATGGATGATATGTCACCCCTCATGCAATAATTGTGGCTTTACCTGTTTGAATTAAAAGTTTTTCATCGCCATATGATGATTGTTAAAGCTCATTGCGACGAGTAGCTGGATAAATGTACTTTTATTAACGAAAACCTAACCAAACGGAGAGCACACAGCTTTGACCAAAAATAGAAAAGGAAGCAACCCCAACTTCAACACACTTTCAAGGGGCGAAGAACATGGCCTTCAGAACAATAGCATCTGAAGCGACTCATGATCCAATCTTAATGCATGTGAAATATGTTAAAAACGAAATGGCCAAGTTTGCTGGGACTTGTTTATAACATACTTAGGCTACGTAATGTCGTTATGAGAAATAAGGACGTACGCAAAGCTTTTGGCATGTGTATCATGAGGAATTTGTCGCTCCCAAATGGTTTTCCCTTTAACTGGTGACCAAGAAATTCAAGGTAATACAAGGTAATATAAGGTAATATATGGTAATATGAGGCAATATAAGTAATATGTGGTAATATAGGTAATATAGGTAATATAAGGTAATATTATGGTAATATGAGGCCGTGTACGGAGTAATATACGAGTTGACGACCCCTCGAACAGGGGCCTGTTCTTTGACCCTTTGCGCGTCAGTGACTCGTGTCGCCCCGCTGTCGGATGAGTGGTCATGTTGCTAGACCGCGGCTGGTCGGATGTGTCGTTCGGTACACAATGAAACAGACCCGGTTGGGGCACAATGGGACACCCCACTTACTGTCTAATTCTGCCCCAACCCCTTCGTAAACAAAACTATTTCAAAATACATCGAGTACTTAACTATTGATATGTCTCTGTGTTGCTTTTTTACTCAAGAGCAAAATGTGAAAGTGAAGTCAATTTTATTTTGTTTAGGTTTAAGGTCTTCTTCCATGTTGACGGCACTTATTGGGAATGATGCGTTTTCCGTATATGTGCTACTCAAAATACTTCCACAAGTTTGTCTTGAGAGTCAATAAACATTGGACTTTGCGTCTGTCGGCGTTAAGAGCTCTTTAAAACCTATATTTTCGATGAAAAAACGCAGTGTCCCATCCTACCCCAGCGGGGTGTCCCATTGTGCCCCAGACCGGGGCACAATGGGACAAGTGCATTGTTTTTGGAAAATGAAGAAATGTACCTGATGACCTTAAAAAACAATCGTACTACCCCACCACTTTAAAGAGTACAACATTTACTATCGTTGAGGACGGTTTGGGGCATTCTAAGTCAAGTATTCAGCTGCCTAGGTCAATTTAAAGAAAAGTGTCCCATTGTGCCCCACCTTCCCTTAAGAACGAATTAAGTATTCTGGTTGCTTACAGGAATGCGTCTGCTTATGAGAAATAGTAAAAAGCTGAGCTTGTTCCGACCATTTTTAAGATTCGCGAGCTGAATTCGTAGTTGATTCAGGAAGCGAAAGAAGAGAATAACGTGACATCTGCAAAATTATCTCCAAACCGAGAACAACACAGTTAACACGCTCAAGCTTCACTGTTAAAGTTTCCCTACTTTTGTACAGGAAATGTTCGGATCGAAAGAAGAGAGTACGTAAACACGAAATGAAGCACAGGGAACGTGCGTATACTCGTTCGAAAGGAACTCATCGAAGCGGGTATAGAAAACTAATACGTACGGAAGTTTCTCAGTTGGCTAGTAAGTACGGACTGTCCAGGCAAATTATTGGCCAGACTTCCTTACTTTTATCGTGCACTGGATTTTAGACGCACCGATGGTGAACTTTGCGTCGCGTTCCTCTGGTGAAATATCGGCGAGGTCTTTTCGGACCCTTGCGTGTGCGCGTCGGACACCCAGGATGCTCTTGTAGGCGCGAGACTGAGGGTCGAACGGGTCCGACGAGTACCACGTCAGGAGCTTGTAGACAGTATCCAAGTAACGCCTTCCTGCAGTTTCTGGAGTGTCGGATCTGTAATTAGAAAATTCCAGCACGTGATTTTTGCGTTCACACAGTGTACTTGGATAAGCACGCTCCACCGATCCATTCGAAACCGCCCGACAAATAACTCAGAATGAAAGAGTCATAACCAGGATTAAAATTTTTAGTGAAGTAAACTATCACTCATCTTTATTTTCTCCCACATGCCCATGAATAATGAAGGTTCTCTCATCCAGATTTTGAGTACGGAAATCTTCATCACCCAAATTTGAGGGATAAAATACTTCTCACCCACATTTGGGTGATGAAATGTACCTCACCCATAATATGGAATGGAAACAGTGCAAACTATTAAAGGCCTTAAAAAAGTAAAGTAGCTTATCACAACAAAGTATTTTGAGCATACATAAGCGTTCAAAGAAAATTCATCGAAATTTACGAACTTTCTTCGTACGGCACACTATTTAGTATCTCATATATATGTTCAAAATACTTCTTAAAGTTTTCAGCATGTGTGGAAAATTAAAAAAAAAACGCACTTTGAAGTAGAGATGAGCGGATCCATTCCATCAGCAAAACTGTACTCGAGAAAGATGCCCATCAGGGCGGCCACAGATACTCCAACGAAGTTTTGTCGGGCATAGCGCTGCCCTTCCAGGAAGAGCTTCTCGTCGAACCAGTCGGGCTTCACGTCCTGAGGGACGCCGGAGTCTCCGGGGGCCGTGAACGAGTCGTCGACGATCAGGTCGCGTATTTCGTCCGGGAGTGACTCTCGGCCGGCCGGCGGATAATGGATGCGGATGGGGACATCCGTGGCGGCCGGCTGCGGCAAGCACCACACAGGCTACAAATTTCCGATTCTTTGTCTCAAAATAATAACGTCATTCTTTCTCCATATCCTCGAAAATGGTTTTAAGCACCTGCGCCAAATTGTGTACAGTGCCCGTAAACTAGTGGAGTATCGAACGTTTAAACTCTTGGACGCGCGTTTTTGGCTGAGCGATAGCGAAGCCCGTTACTCCAGTGGGGTTGAAAAGTTTTGTCTGTCTGTCTGTGCGTGTGCGTGTATGTGCGCACTACTCCCCCTGAACGGCTCGGCCGATCTGGCTGAGATTTTGCAGGCTTATTAGGTATGTTCTTGGCTCGGCACACGCGAAATTTCACTATCCTAGCTCACGTGGTTCAGTTTTTGGCCCGCCCTTCTATTCAAAAAAAAGGGGGAGGGCCTATGCATTTGCCTTTGTGTCTGTGTGTTGTTGTTGTTGTTGTTGTTGTTGTTGTTGGCGTCTGTGTACAAGGAAGGAGTTGAGCTAGAGTAACCAGATTTGGAGGGTACTTCAGGAGTACCGTCCAAACAAATAATCCGGTGGTGCAAATCCCGTCCGGGTCGCACAAGGGCTGCTGCAGGTGCATCATGGTTTACATGAGCGGGAGGGGGATTTCCGCCATTATTGGTGCTAGCAGGGCACATAGGGGTATTTTTGGAATCGGGGCGACGAGACAAGATGAATGGACCTGGTCCCGACCCCATCGGCCGCTTTAACAAGTTGGCCAGATCAGGATCTTCAAAAAAGGGGGTCGACCGACTAAAAAAATTTATTGCAGATTTCGATTGATCTCAGCAAAACCTTTTCAACGAGGGGTCGGAAAGGGGGTCCAGGAGCCCGACTTCGTCTATTAGTCACATCAGGATCTTGAAAAAAGGGGGTCGACCGACTGAAAATTTTTACTTAAGTTTTGGATAGGTCTTGGCAAGACCTCTTCAACGAGGGGTCGGAAGGGGGGTCCAGGAGCCCGCCTTCATGAGTTATGGGGAAAAGTGCGACGGACTCGTTTTGCGCTCCTGCTGTGCCTCTATTGCAAGGAGTTGCAGTAGCATGGCAAATATGGGTATTTTCGGAATGAGGGTGAAGAGACAAATGAAATGGGCATATTCTAAAGACAGTTGGAGTAAAAAGTGTAAGGGCTATTATTGTGAATAGAAGGGCGGGCCTAAGTCACGATGGTACATCGATAACTTTGCTTTACCCGCTCACGGTGTGTGTGATGCGAGCGGGCCGAAGGCCCGGGCCTTCGACTGGCCAAGTCGGGTCTGATGCGAGGGCCGAAGGCCCGAGAAAAGGCCGCCGGCAGGCCAAGCTGGGCCGGCCCCCTGTCGAACCGAGTTGCCGGCGCAGCAGCGGAGCTGGCAACCCGGTTCGACGGAAGGGCGGGCCCTAGCTTGTTATAGCCGAAAAACACCTAAAAAACGGTAAAAAAATCGAGTTTTCTGCAGGCAGACCACTTCTGCCTTGCAGAAAGGGGGTTCTGGGGGGCCGAGCCCCCCAGCCCCGACAAGTTAAAAAGGTACAAAGGTCAAGATCGTTTTATCCGTAGATGAAGCAACTCTATGTAGACCAGCATGCAACGAGTAAGAAGTAACCAACGACGGCCAAGCCATGCCTGCCGAAGGCAGGCTAGCGCCGCAGGCCAAGGTAGGTACGCCAGGCGCGGATTGCGGGAACAGGCCGCGAGACATCGCGAAGCCTGTTACGACAAGACGCGGTCTGGCGTAAACCTACCTTGTTTAACCTACCGTGATGCCTTCGTCCTGCTGATCGTCTTGGAGTTGCGAGGAGGTCGTCATTTTTCAAATGAATGTGCTGAAACAATGAAGGAAAAAGAGAATAGAACCACATATTCACTCGTGTAAATTTTGTCAGAATGTCAGAAACATGTCTGAAATCCTGATCAAAATTCGCGCACCTCTGAAAGCTGAAATTCTGAAAACTTACTCTGATATTGATGGTGTGAGTTCTACAGAATCTCAGGAGATGTTTTCAGCTTTCAGAGGTGCGCGAATTTTGATCAGGTTTTCAGACAGGTTTCTGACATTGTGATAACATTTACACGAGTGTTTTGATCAAAGAAATATAAAGAACGAAAGAAAAGTTCCAGTGAAACTTCAAATGTCAAATCTAAATCTTCAGCAAGTATGACTTCCTATTATCAACAAATTTTCATAGCAAAATCTGTTTTGAATATAGTACGAGCTTTGCTAGAACGATCATATGCACAGTAGCAAGACGTTGGTGTGTGTTTGCACACCGTCATTCAAAACTAGGATGATCACTGTCTATGTATTGCAATAAAACTTATCACAACATGTTTGCAATAATAAATACTGAAAATCTGAAAAAAAAAATATAGCTAAATTTTGCAATAAAGTATCACTTTTTTGCGATAATGCCGGCAAAGAAAATGCAATTAAAAATTACAGCAAAAGAAGTGATGAAAGTCACTACATAAGGGCCCTTTTATCGCAAAACTTAAGGGGTGGTTAATGCAAAATAATACAGTAACTAAATTATTGCACTCCAGGGTGCCATAAATCATGGGAATCGCAAACTCGGTTTTATCGTAAAAATTTGTCGTAAATTATCACAAAATGAATGACAGTGCAGTGCTTGCAATGTCGACTCTTCATTTTCCTCCCTTCAACGTCCGTCGGCCTCTGCTGCCCAAACAGAGGACTGCTCCCTGACTCCGGACCTGACATCAAGATCAAAGATGCTGCTCTCACTGCTGCCACGTCCTCCACGGCAATGTTTGCACCAGGACAAGATCCACAGAGGTCACCTCGTCATTCCGATACCAAAAATACCCGTGTTTGCCGGGCTAGCCCCTCTTATGGCGGAGATCCTCTTCCAGCTCTTATAAACCTTGATGCACCCTCAGCAGCCCTTGCGAGGCCGGATGATGGTTGTTGGGACGATACTCAAGTCTTCTTCAAATTTGGCTGCCAGCTCTCCTCGTACACAGACCATGACACGCGGACACAGAGGCCAATGCCCATGCTCTCCCTTTATTTCTAAAAGGGTGCTACAAAAAGTGCCACTCTTATGTTTGAACGGATTTCAGCGAGACTGATCCTTCTTTTCGATGAGAAATCAGAACTATATCGTTGATAAAAAAAATGATCACCCTCTATTGGTGGTAAAGAAAAGTATCGACCCTTTTCGGTCTTACATTTCGGTGACGCCTTTTCTCGTGCAGACATTCAGGTTACATCCCTTGCAGGTGAGATGTCTTGCATTTCGATTACAGTGCCACACAAAGGCAAAGAGCCTCGGGAGCGCCCTCTCAATGTTCGAATGATTACGTGCGACTGCTGCGTTACACTGAATTGGTTCGCACGAACCAATTATTAACTGCACTCACATTGAGGTCTTGGATGTATTGACGGTAGGTGTGAGGTCTTGAAAATGCTGTGGATCAACTCCCTTGCCAGGCATTGTGGACACTAGCGCACGCGCGATTGACTGGCAATTGGGTTTCGGTCTGTGTAAAGTGGGCGCCACGCTAATGAATGTTTATTCGGCGGACAGGCGCGTGAGTCCGAAAGGTCCTTCACCCTTTTCCCCTTGCACATTGTGATACCCTACGGCCCGCTTGCTCTAGTGCTTCATTTTTTTTTCAAATTTCAGATGTTATAGCGTTTTTTGCTTTGATGTTCAAGCGGGAGGTTTATTTCCCGGGCAATTGTTTGCTTTACAGCTTACATGCCGGCAGTGTAGAACCAGGTGTTAACATGAGCACACGCAGTATTTATTAAACGAATAGATGACTCTGGGTCGCAAAGCCTGGGAATTTGCGCATAGGATTTCTTTCATTTGAACAAGGAAATTTCGGACTGTACATCACTCGTGTAAATGTTATCACAATGTCAGAAACCTGTCTGAAAACCTGATCAAAATTCGCGCACCTCTGAAAGCTGAAAACATCTCCTGACATTCTGTAGAACTCACACCATCAATATCAGAGTAAGTTTTCAGAATTTCAGCGTTCAGAGGTGCGCGAATTTTGATCAGGATTTCAGACATGTTTCTGACATTCTGACAAAATTTACACGAGTGATGTACATTGTTCCAAAGAGCCTGCATGGACTGAAAGTGTGGGACACAGCTGTATATCCCAGGTGTGACACATTGGCGTTTCACTCTGAAAAAACGTGAGACATTTTGATTCGCGCCAAATAGTGTGAGACTGTCCCACACTTGTGTACCCACCCAGAGTAAAACACTAATCTTCTCGTAGAGTTAGTTTTTGTTATCACTCAGCAGAACCTGGCAGTGGCAACTTCGAAATGGAAGGGCCGGCCTGTCGTCACGTTCCAATTATCGGCTCAAAATACATACTCCGTCACGGACACTTGAACGTGCCTCTTGGAGTCGGACCATACACCTCGCAAGAGTCAGAGTTTGGCACTGAAGCGAACATGGTTCTGACCTCGCTGTTTCTCGTCATGCTGTCGGCAAGGCCCCTCTTGGGCTGGCAAACCTGCGCGACGGATGAATTCCGTTGCGACACGGGGAGATGCATTCCACGCAAGTGAGTAAAACACCGTATGCTCTGCACTGCGCCGCAGAACGAGTGTGACGTATTCGTTAGCATATGAACTTTGTCACATTCGTTTCAACGTGCACTAACATTTAAACGAACATGGCAAAATTCACATTCTAACGAATTTGACGTCGCAATCGTTGTATAGCAGTGGATGTGGAGTATCTTCGAAAGTGACACTGGGAAAGCAAATCCACACTGCAAAGCCAGTGGTAAGTTTGCTCAATTGACACAAATTTGGCAAGCCGTTTTGAATACCAAACACTGGCAAGCTTGGCCCTGATCGCCAGCTTAATAATCTGATTTCGGGTTCGATAATAATCTGATTTCGGGTTCGATCGCGGTGTCTCATCTACCTCATTACGTCTTCGGACACAATTCACGGAAATAACTTTTAGAAACAGAGGAAATTCATTCACCTGCTGGACAGCAGCAGAAAAAAATCGAGTGAGAAATGTTACTGATATCTGCACACACTAAATGTTATACACAATTTTCTACGAGACATCACCGTTTTTAAAACGTTTGCAAAAACGAAATTTTCGTACAATTTTCGTACGAAAAACTGCACATTTCTCGTCATTTTTGTATAAAATTGTACAAAATTTAGTACAAAATGGTACGGAAAGTTCGTGTGCACAAAAAACTGTGATGTCTCGTACAAAATTTGTACAAAGACATTTAGTGTGCAGATTTTTAAGTTTCTCATACGTTCGCATCGGCCTGACCGCATATACGCGTAAAATTCTTCATATCACTAGACTTTCGCCATGTCTTGCTGGTAGCGTAAGCGTACGTCTTGGTAGGGGCAAAAATTCCTATAACTTTCGGTTTTGCCTCTTGGGATCTTCCCAATGACATTGCCGAATTCATCGCTTCAGTCTGACTTGTGAGTGGGTGATTCCGGGCGAAGGGGGTCAATTCAGGTCAGCGGGTCCCGGTGCCCCAAGGTTGATTTGGAAGTCTAAGCGACTCTAACTTGTTGTTCTTGGACTCAAGTGGAAAAGTAAAACAATGTTCTATACTTTTAGGCACTCTAGTCCTTAAATTGACATTTTATTAATATTCATAGACGTTTTTGCACAGTAAATGAACTTTACTAAGAAGCTTGACAGAAGGCGAAATTTATGATAAAGTTTGTGATACAAATTAAAATGGGAACCTGCTCATTTCCCTTGCAAAACGGAAAATATATGGGCACTATATGGACAAAATATATGGCCCAACATGTATTGACGTCATATGTGGAAAAGATAATTTAGCAAGATACTTTTCCGATATAAAAAATATGTGGCAAATATATAAATTTCATACATTGCTCTATAAGTAGGCAATATATAGTGTGAATACACCATGGAGTCCGACGACTCAGAGACTTCCTTTACTATTTTAAAAGAATGTAAACTTCGCCTTGTGAGGACATTCAATTGTAATCCTACCTCGCCTAGTAGAACTTTTCGCGCCACGCCCAAAAAAGACGTTTAAAATGTCTGAACTGTTCCAGTTCACTTGTTTAACAGGATTTCTTAAAATTTCTTGGAGACTTAAACGCATAGAAAAGAACCTTTGCCCTGCTCAATATATGGCGTCAATATATTTTACAATGTAAATTCATGTTGAGATAGCCGCCTTTCAACATCCAGTGCCAAGGTTTTAAGAAAAGTTACTTGAAAAGTCTGCCCTTCTCACCCTGCCCCATCCCACGACGGGGACTGTCAGATATTGAAACATATATTTCGCGAAGATAATATTATATGGGGAAATATATGCATTATATATTAACGGGCACCAAGATATACCCCCATATATAAACCACGTATTGCGCAAGATAATTTGCAATATATTGAGCAAGATACAATTATATTGACAATGCATGAAACATACATGGAGTCATATATTGACACATATTTTCCATATATTTTCCTTTTTGCAAGGGTTGTGTTCACGAACGTCGATGCACTCTCATTCCAGGAACGTGACATCCCGTTCAAACGAATGTGACAAAATGTCACGTTCGCGTTTGAGCATTGTGCCATGTGCCACATTCGTTCGGATGTGAATCAGCCGTAAATTTATTTTCTCACAATCACACGAATGTGAAACAATGCTCAAAGAATCGCGTGACATATTGTCACATTCGTTTGTACGTGATGTCACGTTCCTGGGATGAAAGTGCGTTATTGAAGAAAAACTCAGTATGACTCTAAAAATGAACTGGACATGATCCCTCGACTTCGTTTTCCAGCGTAGCACGCCCGTCCATCGGCCTTATTTCGAGGGGTCCTATTCAAAAGATCTTATCTGGGCGTTCCCCCCAAGAAAATCTTACCTTAAACGCAGGCGAATTTCACTTAGTTTGATCATTTAATACAGCTATATATCAATATAATTTGTGATTTAGTTGTCGTAAATCTGAAGATGAAAGATCGAAGAAACCAAAAGTGCATGTAGAAATATATTCCGCTCACTGTCGTATTCATCCCAAATGATCAAATAGGGGTAGGTTGGGGAAGAAAAGTACAAAACGCGTACTTTGCACTGTACAGAAGTTCCAAATGAGGATTCGACTATTCTGCTCTCGTGAACTTGTAATCCAATGCCTTCCTAATTAAATGGATCACTGTTCATTGATTATAGTTCCCCACATTACGTACAACATGCCAAAATGTATGTGATTTCGGAACTCCTCGAAAAGGGTAAAGGGTAAGAAAAGTACACCACCGGGAAAGAAAAGTACAACGAAAAGAATTGCGATTTCGAACCAGGAGACCACCAATCTTGGCTCAATACACGTTTACCCCTAAAGTGGAGAGCTTTCACTTGCCATTAGTTCAAGTTTCGTCAAAATCGGTCAATTGGTTCTGATTCTACATGGACTCATCACAGAAGGTCCAAGAAGCCTTTTCTCAGAGACAAGTGGGTACAGCATTTTTGTACTTTTCTTCCCCTTTTTACGTAGATGCCCAATAACTTGTTTATTTCGAGTCTAATTGTATAACTTGTGTTGATATTTTTTGCTTGTCTCACCTAATCAAATCTATTTCCGTGATCAATTCAATTTTCAACCCGCTTTTTGTTTCTTAGAGGGTGTTCTTTTCTTCCCCAATGCCTGTACTTTTCTTCCCCATCCGACTGTACTTTTCTTCCCCATTTCATTTATACACTTATAAAAAATTGTGTTGAAGCCCAAGAGCATCGAACGGCACTGTTTTTCGAAGATGATGGTCTAAGCTATAAGGTGGTACCTTACATTGGACTGTCGGCTGATTCTACAGCAAGCTGTACTTCAAAGTACAAACATTTAAAAAAAGATTTTAGTAGTTATTTTTAATGTTTTTTTCAAACGTGCAGTTTGATTCTAAATATTATATGTAGAACTGGGCTAAATTTGTTTTTTGTCAGCGGGATGACCAATCTTTCTAAAACCACCAACGTGATGGTTCCGTGTAGTTTCAGTTCGGAGATTTAACGGGTGTTCTTTTCTTACCCGAGCCCCGAGTGTACTTTTCTTCCCCAACCTACCCCTAGAGTGAAATTTGCCTGCGTTTAAGATAAGATTCTCTTGGGGGGAACGCCCAGATAAGATCTTTTGAATAGGGCCCCCCAAGGACTCTTTTTTTCAAACACAGGCTGTCTGGACCACATCGATTTGTCAAACCAAGCGTGGGTCAGTTCTTTTTTTATGCTATCTACGCACCGACCCTTGACTCATTTTGACCAAACTTTGGTCGAATTAGGGTAAGGTGCCCAGTGATGGCCACTTTTAGCGCACTGATGCGCCTTTAACCCCTTTACTGAGTGTCCCGCACGTCGTACCGGTATGAAAATTTCCAGGAACATAAAAGAAGGATAGAGTAAAGGTTCCCAAGGCTAGAAACCAGCAAAATAAAATTTATTCTTTGAGAAAAAATTAACCAAACTATCAGTACAGTTTGCCCAGTGATAGCCAGGGTCCCGGCCCAGTGATGGCCACACTAGGGTTTGAGCGCTTTGTTTTCTTTTTTGACAGTTATTGAACCCAATTTCAGCTGGTTTGCACCTTGTTCGAAGCTACAGGGGTCACTGTGTCTTAGGAAACGGAAATCAGTGTAACCCTGGGAACCTACCCTGGGAATCTACTTGTGTTTATACCATAAATATAGAATTAAAGTTAAAATTTCAAGTTTGCGATAGAAAAGATTTGGTTTCCGAAATGATTTGATCTCGAGAAGGTGAACATGTAATGTTAAGCATGTTATAGGTACAGACTTCAAATTCAAAGGTTTATCGGTGTCCAAAGTGGAAAAAGGTACAAAATGCATCTTTTTTCCTGTTTCAAGGCCGATAACTTCTGAAAATCAAGCCTGAACCTAAAACATGCTTAACATTTTTTGTTCATCTTGTTGAGGTAAACGCGTTTCTGAAATCGAATTGTTTCTATCGCATATTTAAAATTTTGACTTAAAAACAAAACTTATTGTACGTACGGAGTCTAAACAGTTTCCATGGTACCGTGAATTCAGGTCCCCATGAGGCAGGCGGCGTGAGATGCCAGGTCAAAACCAAGATTTTTCAGGCAACGGACATGCACGGCGTCGCGTCACTCGTTGCAAAGTCTGCTCCAAAACACTAGTGTGGCCATCACTGGCTGTGCGCTGTTTTGCCTGCCCAGTACTGGCCACCACCCCTTTTCCCTCAAATGTAACGAAATTTCAAACAAAAACTTGCATGCTATGGTTAACTTGCCCTCTTTCGATTCTTCTGACGTGATGTTTCTCTTGCACGGACCTCGTATTCACAAATGACAAGCGACGCCGTCAAAGCCTGCGCTAATCTGGGCCGGTAAGGAAAGCAACGTTCGACCGGCCGAGAACGCAGTGTTCAGCGCGCTGCGCCCGTGCGGCCGTCCCTAACACTAAAAAGCTGAAATTTTTTCGGCGTTGTGTTGCCAATAGGTGACAGTACAAAACCTCAAAAGCTCAATTCTTTAACTAATCTCGCCTGGTTGGAAAGTCAGCGCAAAGTGTGAAGTGGCCATCACTGGGCACGTTACCCTATGTTGCCTGCCCTGTTGTGCACCACAATCAGCAAGGGCGTTGCGTTTCATGGCGCAGTTTACACAATCAACAGTCAATATTCATTCAGGTGGCCTGTAAAGCCAGTGCATGCAGTCTTCAATTTTCATGGTTCAGTGCCCTTGCAAAATGGAAAATATATGGGCACTATATGGACAAAATATATGGCCCAACATGTATTGACGACATATGTGGAAAGGTAATTTAGCAAGATACTTTTCCGATATAAAAAATATGTGGCAAATATATAAATTTCATACATTGCTCTATATGTAGGCAATATACAGTGTGAATACACCATGGAGTCTGACGACTCAGAGAATTCCTTTACTATTACCAAAGAATGTAACCTTCCCATGCGAGGTCATCTTACCGTGGTCGCCTAGATGAACTTTTCGCGCTACACTCAAAAAAGACGTTTTAAATTTCCTAACTGTTCCAGTTAACTTGTTAAACAGGATTTCTCAAAATTTCTTTGAGACTTAAACGCATAGAAAAGAACCTTGCCCTTGCTCAATATATGGCGTCAATATATTTTACAACATAAAATCATGTTGAGAAATATAGCCGCCTTTCAACATCGAGTGCCAAGATTTTAAGAAAAGTTACTTGAAAAGTCTGCCCTCCTCACCCTGCCCCATCCGACGACGGGCACCGTGTCAGATATTGAAACATACCTTTCGCGAAGATAATATTATATGGGGAAATATATGCATCATATATTAACGGGCACCAAGATATACCCCCATATATAAACCACGTATTGCGCAAGGTAATTTGCTATATATTGAGCAAGATACAATTATATTGGCAATGCATGAAACATATATGGAGTCATATATTGACACATATTTTCCATATATTTTCCTTTTTGCAAGGGTGTCATCCACAAACAAGGTGGTTCCTTTTTTTCTGACGGTATAGCGAGGGTCAGAAGGATGTGCGTTTCGACGCAAACCTCCGACGACAGAAAAAATGCGTAGTCGAAAAACGAAGGCAGGCATTGCAGTGGTTTGTTGTAGGTTCGTTTGCGATGCGTGGCTCCACTGCAAGGACGGCTCGGACGAGGCGAACTGCACGCCGTCCAGCTGCGCTCCGGGCGCCTTCTGGTGCGACAACGGTTGCAGGGCGAAGGAGGAGCGTTGCAACGGCAGGAAGTGGTGCAGCGACGGCGTCGACGAGAAAGACTGCCCCCCAAGGTAGTACACCCAGAATAATTGACTGAATTCCTGAGGGACTCCATTTCAGCACCACCTCATTGTGACGAAAAGCCACGGGAAATTCTGTAAAATGGCTTGCGGTAATTCTCCGTAGGACCTTCACACTAAATGTCATGGGACTTTTTTTGTCCCACGGTTTATGCAATTTTAAGCACATCCGACGCTGATACAATTTTGTTCCCGTCTGGTGACACATTTTGTCCGGCGCCAGCTGCAACTTGTACTTTCACTAGACAATTTGTCCCGCCTGGCGGACACAAAATTGCATCACCACCGGATGTGCTTAAAATTGCACAAACCGTGGGACAAAAAAAGTCCCATGACATTAAGTGTGTTCTTACATTGTTTTCCGTGGGATTATACAATCTTCAAGGTCCTACGGAGAAAACTGTGCAGTTCCACGGAGACTACTGTAAGATCCTGCGGAGAGTATCGATAAGAGGGCTGAATCCTGGCAAAAATATTCGCAGAATTTTCCGTACCTTTTTGCCACAGTGGCTCAGAACAAACGGCTAACTTCAACGGGAGCAAACACAATCGGGTACCTCTTTCTAGACCCCTGCCGACAAACGGATATAATGAAATTTTCGGAGGGGAGGGCTTATGACTGAGACTCCATCGTTTTTCTTCAATTTCACAATCAGGCTCGGCTGGTCCAAAATGAATAAGTCTCCCAAACTCGGAAGGAGTAGGAAAGCAGCCAAAATAGAGCCGCCTGGTCTGCACTGCAGGGATCCAGAAGAAAAGGTAGCGGCTAGTCTGCAGTGGGACGTAGGTCTGCGGCGCCTTCAGAAATGCAGATTGGAGTAGAAACGTTCCGAGGAGTAGTCGAATCGGGCAACTTGTGTTTGAGGTGGATCTGGAACTTTCTTGTACTTCGAACAGTATACACATTAAATTTCTCTGCACTTTTTTGTACGTGGCCTTCACACAATTTTAAGTACTATGCACGCTTTTTTACAAAGTGACACGCAATTTCAAACGAATTTGAGCTCTACTGCGTACAAAGTTGTATGAAAAAGTTCGTACCATGTGCGAAATTATGTGAGGCCACGTACGTAATTGTACAAATGCGTTTGAGGTTGAGGTGCACGAATTTGTTAACATGTTAACTGATACCGGTTTAACTACTCTTTTCAAGGTCTTCCAACCAAACCTACAACTGCCCCGGTGCTGACGTGCGGTATTACAAGCCGAGTGTGGTTTGCGATGTGGACTGCAACTGCGACGATTGCGGAGACGAGGTACGAGTGAATACTTGTCTCGAAAAAGGCAGCATAGCATGCGCCTTGCGTCGTTGAATGGGTGCAGCCGTGAGCATGACAAAGTAATTTGTGATCGCCACAGTTTTGTTAAATGACGCGTTGGGCTTTCTGTCGAAATTTTTAACGGCTGATAAAATGCGGATTTGCGCGCATGGTTAGGCGGCGTTCAAGTAACCCAGCAACCATCACGAAAATTTGAGAGTGTACGATGAGTCCTGTACACTCACAGAAGTCTACGAAGCATTGGATTTGTAATTACGCAGAAAACAAAGGCATTGTAGAATTGCTTCGTACTATGCAGAAATGCTTCGTATAGCCAAGGATTTTGAATCATAATACGAAGCAATTCTTCGTAGAATTTACAATTCCTTCGTATTACGAAGCAATGGTTTTGCAGACTTTTTTTGTGTGATCTTCGGAGTAACTGAATATCCATCAGCGCTGAAACATTGTCAGCGGGGCATTTTGAATTGCCTTCTAAAAGGATAAGGTATGGGGTTATCAATCCAAGCTCAAGATTTAAGAGTGAATAACTCTACTTTTTTAAAAATCAAAAGCGTTAAACGAACTCTGCCTTTACCATAAAAGTTTGTTGTCACTTCATGACAAAATCGTGTATGGCATTGTCATCACTTGCAAATGATAAAAATGTCATCACAAAGAAAATACATTTTCGTAACGGGTCACAGTATACTTAAGGCATGGGCATGCCAACAATATCATCAATGTTGAGATAACATTCTCGCAAGAAAAATTAGCCTTGAAATTTATCATCAATGGGCAACCAGAATTTTTACAGTGAACGCTTCAACTTTTCTTCGCAGGCAAACTGCACCAAGAAGGAGCTCTGCAGTCGTGCTTCCGGCGCCTTTTTCTGCGACGGCCAGTGTCGTCACCGAGACCGCTGGTGTGACCGTGTGGCCGACTGCAGTGATGGCTTCGACGAGCGGAACTGCCCGTACAACACGAACACGGGGAAATCCACCTAACCGACCCAACTGTGTCCCCCATTTTCCAAGTCTCTATCGGGCGGCTCTTGAATTGTTTTAGAGTGGCGGCCACACTGCACAGAGTGTGAGTAGTACAACAAAAATACAACGAAATCTGTGATAACAAGTTTAACGATGATTGTGAAAGAACAACCAGAATTGTGAAAAGTACGAGGCCTGGACTGCACTCGTCGTGCGAGTCCCTTTGTTCTTCGTACAATAATTGTTTTACTTTTGAAGTACAATTCATCCCTGATAACAGATAATTTGCCAGGATGTGTTGGGTTGTTGTTTCAGTCTTTTCTAGCGGTTTCAGCATTTGCCCATCAGGCGGAGTGTCATTCTTTTTGCCATATTCAGGGCAGTACCACTTTGCTAGAAGAAAACCACAACAAAGCTAAGAATTCCTGGCAAGTTTTTATCAGGAAAAAAATGTACTTTCAAAGTACAACAACCGTGGTACAAAGTAAAATAGAACTCGCATGACGAGTGTAGTCCAGCCCAGCCCAGACCTCGTTGTACATTTCTTTCAGAGTTTTCGTTGTCCTTTTGTTGTACTCATCACAATTTGTCTTGCAGTACAGATCTGACAAGGCCCGCGGCCCCCGGTGCGGCCACTGTTTTGAGACCAAAATAAAGATAAAGATTAAGTAAGTCCTTTTTTCTGCTGCTCGGATCAGGCTTAAAACAGTTGCTCACTTTTTGAGGCAGCCACACCGTTTCGGGAATTCAATTGGCATCACGGAATTACAACACGTGCTGGCGTCCCAGTTCGTCATGTGATGAGATTCTTAGTTTGAGGTGGAGGTAGGATCAGGTTCTGACACAAAATTGACCAGGTTTCTTTTTCTTTGTTAAGAGAGAGGATAGTTGCTTCTCTAATTGAGGGAAGAGCGATTTGCGCCCTCGTTGAAGACAGGTGTGAAGATCGCGTCTGTTTCCCGCTACATTAGATGCAGACTGCCTTCCGGGCGCCGTTGATGGCAGTGCGATCCAGCGACTTGAACGCGACCAAGACACTCTCGTCAAACCGCTTGGCGGCCCGCGACTTCTCGTACTTGTTGACGAGGCACTTCTGCCCGAAGTACTTGACGCACGTGTTGGCCTCCTGCGCGTTGTCGACCAGCGCCAGGTGTCCGCCGTGAGCACGACCGTTGATGATCTGCCGAAACGTGACTTAGGTTATTTTTGAAGCCTATTTCGCTTCGCTCGTTAAACTACTTTGCAATGATTTCGTCCATAGCTTTGTATGGCACTGAGCGCGCGCGAAAACACATGAACTCGTGCGCTACAATGCACTTTACACTCACATTCCAGGAACGTGACATCACGTTGAAATGTCACGTTCGTTCGAATGTGAACAAGCTGATTTTTGGCTAATTCACACCCAAACGAATGTGAAACAATGCTCAAATAAACGTGGCATTTTGTCACGTTCGTTTCAACGTGATGTCACGTTCCTGGAATGAGAGTGCACTGCAGGAAATAACCACAACAAAAGTACACAAATTTCTAGCAAATTTTTTATCAGGAATTTAGTGTACTTTTCAAATACAACAATTGTTGTACAAAGTACAATGGAACCGGCATGACGAGTGCTGTGCAGTCCAGGGCTCGTTGTGGTTTGTACAACTCGTTGTACTTTCTACAATCCCTGTTGTACTTTTATTGTACAGTTATTGTTGTACTTTTGTTGTACTATCCACTCTTTTTCTTGCAGTGTGTAGTACTCATTGTTAGTGCTCAGTGCTCAGCTTTGCAGGAATACGTCCATTTCAAAACATTTTCTCAACCGTGCTCAATGCTCAATTGCAGGCAAAGAAACGCAGATCGATCTGCGAAGTGAGTACGCTCGGTGTTTGTACACTGAACTGAACGCAAACTAGAGATGAAAATGCCCGAAACGTTTTCGGAAACATTGAAAAAAAAAACAACGATGTTTTTTCCGTTTTTACCCTGGCCTCGGAAAAATTGAAAAAAAATGCAGCCTGAAATGTAGGTCTAGGCAAAAAGCCGGACTTTTCGACAGAAAGTAGGCAAAAAACATATCACTGCGTGAACACGATTCTCAGCGCACTCCTACTATTTACACCCTGATATATTTCCTTCTCGTGCGCTTTTTGAGGTTGCTGTTGTGAATCTCGGGTTGCCTGTGAAAGTAAAGTCGTAACGAAGCACAGAAGTAGGAGGTTTTAAGTTCATATTCCACTGTAATGCTTTAAAACTACTTTTTCCAATTTTTTCGTTTTTTTTTTTTTCGTTTTTTCTTCAACTTTTACGGTTTTTTCCAATCCTTTGAAAGTTTCCGGAAAATTTGCAACTCTAAACGCAACTAATTTTGCCTTGGTGGAAAACCAAGTAACAACATAAACGCTTTTAAACGACAATAGACAACTGATTACAATCCGCAACAGTTGTGTCAAACGAAAGCAGTTATTGGTACTCAAAATACATGCAGATGCTCGAACACGGTTTGGCCTAACGTATGCACGACGGAGGCCTTGCCTGAGGTACCGTTGTTTCTCTTTCAAGCCTAGCACATCAAGTGAGTGCGAACATTCTAAATTGGGCATGCCTTTTATAGGGTGCGAATTTTTTGCTCCAATATCATTAAAATTCTGCTGCGTTGCGCGAACTTACGGTTAACTAATCGGCCATTAGGACAAAATTTACGGAAGCTTACCCTCTTGTATCTCGAAAACAGGTTTCCTTCAGCAAGGATGTTCGAGCCCATGTGTGGCTCCAGACCAGTGTGCGGGTTGTTGTCCATGAAGTTTCCAATTAAGTGAATATTGTTCTGTAAGAAGACAGCAGATTGAGCTCAGCATGCCTATAACGTCGATGCCATAAAACCACCCAGTGCAGCTAGTTGGATGTGAAGCCAACCCCAGGCTCCAAATTGCACTGAGAAAACCTTCCAAACTATTTTGGGCCTTACAAAGAAAAGTAGCTCGTATAACAAAGTATTTTGAGCATACCTAAGCTTACAAAGAAAATACTTCGTCATTTACGAACTATTTCTTCGAATAACAAAGTACTTTAGTTTGTTATATGTATGCTCAAAATAATTCGTAAGGTTTTAAGAGTGTGGAACCCCTCACAAGAACAGGTGTTCGCCCCCTGTTAGCGCCAGTTGGCATCATTCATTCATCGTATAGAAATGGGACTCGGAAGAAAAAAACACGACATAAAGGTATAAGGCCCTTAGGTTTACAGTGACAGCACTGTATTTTCGTGATTTTGGGCCAAAACTTTTAACGCGTTTTGAGCTTCAGAGTTGCAAAAGAGCACTCGTACAGAACGATGGGCCCCACCAATAGATTCCTCCTTCAGAGAGCAATCCATTGGGATCACTAGATCGCGCGGGTCGGGCCCCTATAGGGGCTCTGCGTCTAGAGTTTAAGGCAGCGACTCCACCGGTCCTCTGGCCAAGGGCGCAACCACTCGCAAAATCCTGAGTCCTTTCGAGCATCTAATATCCCTCGAAATCTGAAATCTTTCACTTATAGCGAAAACCTATCAAAATTTGGGTCAAAAAAGACTAACGAAATGTCTCCCCTTCAGAAATCTTGTGAACCCGAACTACGAAGGTGGTTGCCCCCTCGCTTCTTCGAGCGCGCAGTGGCCGCTTCTGCAACCAGGAGCCTTCTCGCTGAACCCAACCCACTCCCTGAGCTTACCCAGGCCTTGGCCCAGCCACCGGCGTGCGGCACCCTGGCGGCAGTGTTGTACACGCGGTTGTTGATGAGCGTGATCTCGTCGCGGGTTCCCCAGAACAGCCACACCCAGTACTGCGTGTTGTCGCAGGTGGCGGAGTACTGGTTGGTGCCGTCGAAGAAGCAAGAAGACACGGTGATGCCCACGTTGGTCTGCTGGTACGACACAAGGTGCTGCCGGCCGATTCTCTGAAAGAAGCTTTCATTCAATCAAAAGCCCAAAGCCCTCTCCGATACAAATCGAAAGGTCAGACTTCTCGCCACTCCGGAGGTGAGACAAAATGTTTCGCCAGAGTCTCACCAAAATTTGGTCTGACAAAAATGTTTCACCAGAAAATGGCGAGACTTTCCTGTATGACACGGGTAGGCACAGGACGAGAGCATTCACTGAAAACGTGAATGTCGAACACATGGCCAAATTAAGGCGTGACAAAAAATTAACGGCGATAAACGGCGTGACATTTGAGTCACGCCCGTCATTTGGCGTGCATGACGACGCGTTTTTTGAGACAAGTCATGCCAAAAAGCGGCATGACAAGAGATTCACACCAAACATTGGCGGGAAGTTTTGAGACAAGCCGATTTTTGGCGTTACACTTTCTTCACGCCCCTGCAGCGGCACGACGTCACGCCGGTAGATTTCCAGTGTTGGTGCACCGGCTTTCCTAGACTGCACTCACCACAGTGGTGACTCTGTGTATCCAGGCGTTTTGCACGTTGTCGAAAACAAGGGCATCTCCACCCCAAATAACTTGCGGGTTGATGTCACTGATCGTTATGTCTCGGACGATCACTTGCTGAGCGTTTTTGAGGCGCAGACCTTTGCCCTTAATGGCACCCTTTCCGTTGGTCGTCAATATCGTCTTGTAGGATGAAACCCAGAGTTCGGACGTTCCTGCCTTTGCGTACTTGACCTTTCAAAGACAACCAAGTTAGGATGTGCCGTGATCATTAATAAATATAGCACGCTGCGGCGAAAAGCTGCGGAAAATTCTGTTAATTGTTTTGCCAAAACTCTCCGTAGCCGTCTTATCAAAAATATTCTCCGTAGGGCTTCACAGTATTTTCCGTAGGAACATAGAGTGTTCTCCGACAGACAGTCTTCCAGAAACCTGTAAGTTCATACAGAGAAGACTGCACGGTCCTAGGGAGAATACTGAAAGGCCGTCCGGGGAAGGTCCTAAGGACAATATCGAGAAGGGGGCTGCGGAGAACTATCACAAGTTGTTAACAGAATTTTCCGTAGCTTTTTGCCACTAACTCCACACCACGAAGTGGGGAGTAGCCCACGTTTGGTTTCACAGTAACACGACCCTTGGGAACAGAGTAAAAACGGTTCCTGGTTTTCCCACGAAGTCTATGAATAAGACAGGCGCTTTCAAGGGAGTTCGTGGGACAATCAGGAACCGTTTTAACCGGTGACTTGTGGCAGTGAATAGACGTCAGGATTTATCTCAAGTGAACAGCATTCAAAGTTAATGCAGCTAATTCATTCAGTGTTAAGTTGTGCTGGAGGTTATGTAATAGCACCTGTGTCTGAAGACGACCGTTGCACGTGCCGGAACGCGTCAAAGACTCCTCCGAAATTTGAACCTTTTTGCATTTCTTGTAGAAGCACCCTCTCTCTGTTCCATAACCTTCTGATGCAGTGAAGTCGTAAGTCTTGTCGAGATTGATAATAAGCTTTTCTTTGCTATTCAGATAGTTTTTGAGCTCATTGTTGTCCTTGGGAACAACCGTCCTTCCTGAGAAAAAAATAGATAAGGAATACAACATTTTTCCCCTTTCTGCAGGATCAGTGCTAAGGTGGCGACGATTGGCGAGAAACCGATTTGCTGTTCCATGCGCAACATTGCGGCCGGATGGGGGAGGGTGATTGAATTCCGGACCTTCGATGAAACAAAAATGTTTGTGTGAAAGAGAGGGGTGGGGGAATCTGATACCGTCAGTGTAAGTTCCGACACACAGGAGCGGGTCGCACTAAACTTCCCCTGATGGTACCAGATTCGGGCGGAACATTAAATCGTCTAGAGCATCGTCTATACCTACACGCTTAAAACCTTACCAAGTATTCTGAGCATACATAATTCAAATTAATTTACTCTGTAACACGAAGAAATGGTTCGTAAATTGTGAAGTATTTTCTTTGTAAGGTTACGTATGCTCAAATTACTTTGTTTTAACAAGCTGCTTTTATTTGGAAGGCTTAAAATAGTTTGCAAGGCTTCCAGAGTGAACACAAATGGTACTTTTCAGGAGTGAAAAATTGCAATGCCGATTCTGAACAAACCACTTGAGAAATCGACCTTGAAATTATGGGAAAATTCCTAATTACTAGGACTACCTTCGTGCCAAATTTGGTCGAAATCGTCAAAGGTCACCGAGATCCGTTTAAATCTTGTACGGATGATGGAATGACCCTAAGCAGAGTCGTGGGCGTATCCTGCCAAAAGCGGTACCAGGTATTCCCAGACCCACCCTAGGGAAGGGGTTCATTTTCCAGTAGCGGCCTAGGAATGCCAGGTAAGGGAGCGTGGAGCGATTTGTAACAGATTTCGGAATTCTCTAAACAAAATAAAGAACATTCTGCAAATCGGTGTCAAACTTGTGCCAGTTGAGCAGTCTGGCCCTTCATCTAGACTGTACAGCTCCATTGGATCAATCTGGAATCCGTAATCTTTGAAATCTAAAACGCTCTCCACACCCTTGCATGCTGTTACGAATCGCCCCAGCATGGGGTGTTTCATAACATCCTACACATTAAATGAAATATCGTCGGGAATGTTATTTCCTCCTGCAGTTGTTCTGCGGATGTCCTGCAGACGCCTTTAAATCAACATTACAAGCTGCCGTTGACCGCCTCAGCATTGACTGATCGGCTATGTCAATCCTAACCTCACTTTTTTACAGTTTTGGAGGAAAGAATAGAATAACTCGCTTTAAAATGCATTTTGAGCTGTGTAAATGTATTGGAATAAGGCAGCAGATGATTCAAGAAATAATTCAAGCATTTACTTCAATTCTTGTTTTAATACGGGTCTGTTCCGAATCACCCCAAATGCCTGTTACGCAAGAAATACGTTCCTAACTACCACTGGACAAAGTAAAGGCGACTTATGCCACGTGGTTATATTGTAAAGGGGTCACGCTTCAAGGCCCCAACGGTACTTCGATGGTGATTCATACCTGGGGAGCCTCAGACAGAAACGCCCTAGAACTCAAAATAAAAGATTTGCCTGTTTGCCGAAATTTCGGTGTACCCTATATTTCAGACCCCCTCGAAAACTATACCTGAGCACCGATCACATCCGCTTCGATCGTTGATGGACCCTGTACTTGAAGCGAAAGAGGGGCTATACTCAGATTTTCCTCTGCTCCCTCCACTTAAATTAAGAAACGCATTTGTTACGAATCGCCCCTGTTACAAATCGCCCCAGCCTCTGTTACGCGCCCGACTTGAAAATTCCGCGCGTCCAGAACAACCACGCTCCGCCACCACCTCGGAAGCATCCGCGTCGCATCGTCTGCTGCGCGTTGGCTGAGCGGACGGCCGAGCAGAGCGCGCCACCTGTCACACCTCGTCGCCGCGGCCAGCGCCGCTCCCCCTTCCCCCGCCCGGCCCGGCGAGGCCAGTCAGCTGGGAACCGTCGCGCAGACAAGTGTACACACGAGCCGAGCGTCGCGCCGTCAACGAGACCCCTTTATCTCAAGTGCCGCATTCAAAGTTAATGCAGCTAATTCATTCAGTGTTAAGTTGTGCTGGGAGGTTATGTAATAGCACCTGTGTCTGAAGACGACCGTTGCACGTGCCGGAACGCGTCAAAGACTCCTCCGAAATTTGAACCTTTTTGCATTTCTTGTAGAAGCACCCTCTCTCTGTTCCGTAACCTTCTGATGCAGTGAAGTCGTAAGTCTTGTCGAGATTGATAATAAGCTTTTCTTTGCTATTCAGATAGTTTTTGAGCTCATTGTTGTCCTTGGGAACAACCGTCCTTCCTGAGAAAAAAATAAATAAGGAATACAACATTTTCCCCCTTTCTGCAGGATCAGTGCTAAGGTGGCGACGATTGGCGAGAAACCGATTTGCTGTTCCATGCGCAACATTGCGGCCGGATGGGGGAGGGTGATTGAATTCCGGACCTTCGATGAAACAAAAATGTTTGTGTGAAAGAGAGGGGTGGGGGGATCTGATACCGTCAGTGTAAGTTCTGACACTCAAGAGCGGGTCGCACTAAACTTCCCCTTGCTGGTACCGCAGATTCGGGCGGAACATTGAATCGTCTAGAGCATCGTCTATACCTACACGCTTAAAACATTACCAAGTATTCTGAGCATACATAATTCGAATTAATTTGCTCTGTTACACGAAGAAATGGTTCGTAAATTGTGAAGTATTTTCTTTGTAAGGTTACGTATGCTCAAATTACTTTGTTTTAACAAGCTGCTTTTATTTGGAAGGCTTAAAATAGTTTGCAAGGCTTCCAGAGTGAACACAAATGGTACTTTTCAGGAGTGAAAAATTGCAATGCCGATTCTGAACAAACCACTTGAGAAATCGACCTTAAAATTATGGGAAAATTCCTAATTACTAGGACTACCTTCGTGCCAAATTTGGTCGAAATCGTCAAAGGTCACCGAGATGCGTTTAAATCTTGTACGGATGATGGAATGACCCTAAGCAGAGTCGTGGGCGTATCCTGCCAAAAGCGGTACCAGGGATTCCCATACCCACCCTAGGAAAGGGGTTCATTTTCCAGTAGCGGCCTAGGAATGCCAGGTAAGGGAGAGTGGAGCGATTTGTAACAGATTGCGGAATTCTCTAAACAAAATAAAGAACATTCTGCATATCGGTGTCAAACTTGTGCCAGTTGCAGTCCCCTTAAATTAATAAACGCATTTGTTACGAATCGCCCCTGTTACAAAGCGCCCCACCCTCCCTTACGCACTGCTTTATCGGTGCGGCCTGCAGCTGAGGAATGAGGTGATTTGGCCACTTCATAGACTTCACCCTCCAGGGCCGGGACACCCGTTGTCACAATTTGAAATGTTAACAGCAACAATAGTTAAACCATCTCAAAGTTAATGCCAGCAATAACGCGAGGGAACAGTTTTCATTGAAGACCGCACCTACCGCCAGCCCCTCCAGTTGTCCTATAACCGAAGCCGACGGGTGAGGAGATGCATCCTTGGTTCCACTTCGCTGCAAGCACGGCAGCAGGCAGGAGCGCCAGAAACAAGGTGGTGGCCACACGCATCATTGCGCTGATGCACGAGCCCTCTAGTCACCTCACTTGCGCGCGCCGCACTTTAACGAATGCAAGTCGTGACTTCGTGCTCTGCGTGTCGCACGATGTGTTTTCATTGGATGTGGATTACAGCTGGTGCCCGGCAGGGGGCAGCACCTCTCCACGACTTCGAAACATTGGGTACTGCCACACCGAAGGCAAAACATAAAATATATACACTTAGCAAAACTTTGGAAAAAAAAAAAAAACTCGCATTAGAGGCTGGCGACACCCTCTTAAACGAGGAGGTGGGTGAGTCCCGGAACATTGGGCTGTTGGTACTTATCTTCTTCAAAGAGGGTCGCTTTCGGAACCAAGTTCAGGGTGTGATTAAAGCATGGCAGGACCTTACTGCTGCCGAATGTCAGCTTGACAGCCAGCTTGATGTTTTCTGCATTGTCAGTGATACAGGCCGTCACACGCACACAAGGTAGGCTAGGTGTACGCCACACCGTGTCTCGACGTAACAGGCTTCGCGATGCTGCGCTAGAGTCGGTGCTAGAAAACTATCGTAAGTCGCGCTGCACACAAAAAGGTTTTTAGTGTCTACTAGTCTAAGAGTCACCTAAAACTGTTTTAGACAAATTCGGACAACCTCTGTCTTAGGTCTTGTAATTCTATCCTGGAATGTCCCACGGCGTCGTAGACCCATATTCACCCTCTGTATGTCGGCATTCCAACAGGGCTCATTGTAGTCCGAAAGCGCTCTGTCTCTCTCTGGCCGTTGTGACGGAAGAATCGATACGGACTGCGCTGGCTGCAGTTCATCGTTGTGCGAGTTAAGATTTGATTCCTAGCGCCCTGGCGACTTTTAATGGCTTTCTTAGGAGTCGAGTTAAACTGATTCCCAGGATAACAAGATTACTTACCAGCAAACAGGTTTGGGTCTCAACTCTCTCTCTCTCCTGTAGAGCTCCGCGGACAGCGTGGTTGGCTGCCCGCGCTAAGTGAGCCTGTATGGCAGAATCAACGAGCTGGTCCACCAGATTTCTTAATTTCAACTTGGTGTAGGGGTGCTCTGCTCCATCAAGGTAGCAATTTGAGAGTAACATTCCCTGGGCCATTCCACGCCAGACCACCGAACCCCTAAAATGACCTATCTCAGATTTAACTTATTTTTGGTTGACTTGTGGGGACCCCCCCCCGAACCCCCAAAACCCAAAAAGGATTTTGAAAAATATCAAACGGTTTAGGAATAGCAGCATTTTGAATGTTGAACTTTTTACTTAATTTTTATTTCACTTTTTTCTTAAAAAAATTTTTTTTTGAACGCCAGTGAGGGTTTTGTTTATGATTCCTTTCTGATAAGTCCAAAAAAAGGTTTGAAGGGGTTTAGCACTCTGGTGCTTCCAATTGGGAAATTTTTACTTGGGAAATTAGTCAAATTACTAAAAATTTTGCTCTACTGAAAATACGTTGTCATGGATTTGGCTCTTTTTTTTGGTAAAATGAAGGTATTTGTTAGTCGAACAAATCCCTGAAATAAAACCTTTGCTTGGGCACATCTTCAACTTAACGGGAAGAAAAGTTGGTATTTCACTATTAACGGTTTCGTTAAAATGGCCTAGCACCAACAGTTTCTTCTCGTATGAAGTTCAAGGTCTCAAAATGAGATAAATATGAATAAAAATCAATTCAATAAGAAGAAAGGAATCATGTGTAACTGTTTATGAAGGTTTTATACAGGGTGAGTTTCCTCAATGTGTCAAAAATTTTGAAGGCAGTTGGGCATCCCTAGGAGACCTTTTTTCGCCAATGAACTAGGGGGCGCAAACGTCTGGGTACGGAGATAATTGGTGTTTGAAATTTGGGATTTTGCGCCTACGAGGGGCCCCGGTGCCACTGAGGGCGGCGGGACCTGTCGGGGGGGTGT